TCCTTAAAATAATCTAATCATTCAGGTCATTATAGGACTATTTTAAAATAGGAGCAGCGTGTTGCATTTCTTTTAGGCTTTGCCCTTCTAGCTAGTTTATATCCTGTTGTACCTACCAATTCATAACAAGATAATGTGTGATTCATAACAAGATAATATATTCTTATAATTTTTTCTTTATAAGGGGAAACTTTTTAAATAGTGGTAACTTAGATGTTTTCAACCCACTATCTTTGCCCTTAGGCTCCAACACCTGCCTATGGCATGTTCACAAAAGCATATTATTTGAATTGCTTTCTCACTGTGTCATTGTCAAGTACTGACTTGTCTTCCTTGGAATTTTGGCTTTAACTAAACTTTATGGTACAAAATGTTCCATGTTATGTCTGCTGTCCAACTGTCTGATAAGTTTCCTTATTGGTTGTTGGTTTTGATATTACTGATTTTGTTTTTAATTAAAGAATTTATTTCCTTTATTTAAGCATTTCTCCAGTGTAAGCCATGTGAATTTACAAAAGACAATTTATGCAGTTTATAACATGATAGTATAGAAGTTAGAAAATAGGATTTCTCCTCTCCAACTCTGTTTTTCTCTCTCCTTTCTGGATAATCATATCCAGTCCCATGTTTAGACTGTATATCTTAGCCCCATTTTCAAATTTCATAATAGTCTACAAGGCATCTAAAGCTTAACTTGTATAAAATAAAACTCCCTCATCCTGTTTCCTGTCTTCCATCCCCAGTTCTTCCCACCCCAAAAAATGGTATTAACATTCTCCAGGTATTCACATTCAAATCTGGAGCCTTCCTTCAGCCCTCTCGTTTCTCACCTCACAGGCAGGCCACCGTTTCACACCACTTCCAAGTGAAGCCACTCACTAATTCCACGGTGGTCCTCTCATTAAGTTTCTTGTTCCTGATCTTACTCTTTTCAGTTTTCCTTCCTTCCTTCTTTTTTCCTTCCTGCCTTCCCTCCCTCCCTCCTCTCTCTCTTTCTCTTTCTTTCAAACCATAGTAGTCAAAATGATCTTTTTAAAACAAGTAACATCTTGCTGCCTCTTTAATCAGACAAACCCCCACCCATGGCTTCCTGTTAGGAATACTAAAATCTGTCCTTACCATTACCTGTAGAGCTGTGTATCATTTGGCCAGCCTCTGCCTGCTTTGGTGCTTAGTTCCAGCCACAGTCTGGCCATCTTGTTACCTCTACAAAGACAAAGGATTTAATTTCTCAGAATTGTAGTTGTTTCTGTTTCAACTGTCTGCACTCCAAAATAAACTTTAAACCCTTGTTTACATGTCATTTCAGTGGATACATCTTTACTCACCATTTTTATCCAAATGCTGTTACACATCATGCTTTAGTTCTTACTGCTACCTGAAATGCTGAGATTTCTTTATAGTATAGTAATGGCACTCCACCTTTCCCACCACTCTAAGTTCAGCAAGGACAAGGAGTTTTCTGACTCATCTTCTGCTCGATCTTTGTACCTGGAGAGATTAGCACTCTGTCTGTAAATGACTGAATTTATTAGATGTATGACCTTGAGTGAGTCAGTTCACCTCCTTAAACTTGGAGTCTGTATCTAGGTGAAAGTCTTATCCTGAGTTCATGAGTGGTCAGATCAGTTCGGCACTTATTTTACAAAAAGTGATTTGACCAGGTCACGTGGCTCAGGTCAGTACTGTTCACGGCCACAGTTCCTGCAGTTCTCTGATCATCTGTGAAGTATTCCTCTGCACTCCTTGTCTACAGTTTTACTAGTTTATTTCTCTAAGTTCTTAACTATCTTCCTCTTATTATTCAGGCAAGTCTCCTCTTTACATATACAAATACTTTTTCACTTGGTCCATTTTTGCCTGTTTATTGAATGCAGGCAAGTATGTGATAGGAGCCAAACTTCTCTCATTCCTCCTCTTGCCCCACTCTACCTTCGTGTGTGTGTGTGTGTGTGTGTGTGTGTGTGTGTGTGATGAGCTAAAAAAACATAACCATGGTAATTGTGATATATATTTTTTACTCATGGAATGGGAAAATAGGAGAATTAGACCTAAAAATTAGTGTCTCATTCCCCTAGAAAGTCGTCCCAGATTAGCGGGCTTGTAGGCTACCAGGACAAACTGTTCCAACTTCTTAATGACTGTCAGCTTAGGAAAAAACTGAGATAACAGGGGACTTTGCAGAAATTTCTGCATACTAATGTGTAATCCCTTCATGGGAAGATTGTATTATCCCTAATTAATTTCATCACAGAATAACTTATTGTGGGTTATCTTTTAGTATCTTCTGGGACAGTACTGCTCTATGGAACATATTTTTGAGCAGTTAGTAGGTATTAAGCATAAGTTCTTTTTCTTCTGGGTGGTACTAGGGTGTGAACTAAAGGCCTCACACTTGGCTAGACAGACACTCTATGACTGTGTGATAAGCCTCTAGCTCATTGGTTTTTTGGTTGTGGGGCTTGAACTCTCGGCCTAGATGCTGTCCCTCAGCTCTTCAGCTCAAGGTTAGCACTCTACCATTTGAGCCACAGTGCCACTTCTAGTTTTCTGGTGGTTAATTGGATCTAAGAGTTTCATGGACTTTCTTGCCTGGGCTGGCTTTGAACCGTGATCCTCAGCTCTCAGCCTCCTTAGTAGCTAGGATTACAGGCGGTGAGCCACCAGGGCCCAGCAAGCTCATTTGTTTTGAGATAACTTCTTACTTAATGCCTGTGGGTTCACCTACACCACAATCTGCCTGTGTTAGGCTTTCCACTGAAGTTGAGATGATGGGTGTGTGCCATAATACATAGCTTCTTTCCACAGAGATGGAGTCTAACACACTTTTCTGGCCAGATGGGCCTGGAACTTTGAGCCTCCCAATAAGCCTCCACATATGTTGCTTAGGAGGACAAGCACATGATACTATGAATTATGTGCCACCAGCTATGAGTTCAGAAGGGGTCTGGCAAACTTTTCTGCCCAGGCTGCCTGGATTTCTAAATAGTAATACAGGCATGAGCCAGTGGTGCCTAGTTTCAACCTTTTTTTTTTTTTTTTGGTCAGTTGTGGAGCTTCAACTTTGGGCTTGGGTGCTATCCCTGAGCCTCTTTGTGCTCAAGGCTAGCACTCTACCACTTGAGCCATAGCACCACTTCCAGTTTTTGAGTGGCTTATTTGAGGCAAGAGTCTCATGGGGACTTTTCTATCCAGGCTGGCTTTGAATCATGACCCTGAGATTTCAGCCTCCTGAGTAACTAGGATTATGGGCCACCAGTGCCTGGCTCAACCTGTTTTTTTAATACTATATAATGTGTACCTTAATATTAATCTGTCTTTAAGAAGTAATATTCTGGGGTTAGAGGTGTGGCTCAGGTGGTAAAGTGCCTGCCAGTTAGCTAAAGCATCAGATACTGAGTTTGAGTCCTGGTCTGGGACAAAAAAAAAGAAGTATGCTGAGCAAGGCATGGTAGCACTTGCTTGTAAACCCAGCTACAGGGCAAGACTCTCTCAAAAAATATATATTGTATCAGAGAGTGCATTTTGGATAATGCAAGGAGGGAAATGTGTGTATGTGTGAAAGTACAAAGTATAAGTTATAGGTATTGGTTAATTTATGATTATGTTTTCTGTCCAGTTGATCACTGATCTGTTGCTAGAGCTTTATGGTATTCACTACATTACAGATTACATGTTGATAATGTCTTAGAGCAATTAATTTATAGAAAATACGTCAGTATCTACCATAATAAAGTTTATATCTAGGAACTTTTTGTATTTCAGTCATACATGTAAAGGTTTTGTCAGTTTGACTATGCATATATACCCTACACTATTAAAAATTCCAGAATATCAGAAATAGAGGTATGGCACAAGTGGTAAAATGCCAGCTGAACAAAGAATCTGAGCAAACATGAGACTCTGAATTCAAATACCAGTGCCACTTAAAACACACATTTCTTTCAAAATACATAATGCATTCAAATGGTTCAAAATCCAAAGCCTACAAAAGCATATAGACACAATAGTGTTTGCATTGTTTTAGATCACAGAAGAAATACTTATAAAAATTATATCTTAAATCTCAAAATTAAAGCCTCCAAAATGTAAGGTAGCTAAAAATATCCCATACTCTCTGTTCACGATACATTTGAAAAAAATCAAACTTTTAAAAGAACTCATCTGATTAGGCTGGGCTCTGTGGCTCCAGCCTATAATCCTTGAGATCAGAGGATTAAAGTTCAAGGGCAACCCAAGCATAAAAGTATAAAAGTTTGTAAGAACTCTCTAGTGGCTGGGCACAGTGACACATACCTGTTTATCTCCAGCAAGAAGAGGAATCACTAATAGAAGGATCATAGCTCAGGCTGGCCTAGTATAAAGTAAGACTGCACCTTGCAAATAGCCAATGCAAAAAGAGGTTAAAGACATAGCTCAAGTAGTAGAACACCTGCCTAGCAAGTGTGTAAGGCTTTGAGTTCAATCCCAGGTGCCACCATAAAAGAAAGAACTCACCTGACTAGTGACAGGCAAATGTGCTGTCGAGGAGAGATCTGAGACAGCCTGCAGTGTGCACATGAAGCAGGGTGACAGAAGGGCATAAATGATAAGAAGGGGCTGGAATGGTGCTGAGTGCCACTCATAAGCCCCAGGTAGAAAATGATAAGTAATAAGAGAGAAGTGAAATGTTAACAACTAATTATGAAATTGACCAAGAAGCTAACAGTATTTGCCCCTCAGTTCCTAGTCATGCTTTATTTACTAAGATAATAAACTTTGATATTGAAAATCAGCCAATAAGAGAAACATAGGGCTCAGTACATAGAGTGTAAAGTTACTGTCGAACTTTCAGCAGTGTTACTTTTCCACAAAATAAGAAAATTACCTCTACACCTTATAAATGAAAATACCACATTTGTAGAACTATTTTACTTGCTGCTTATTTTGTTTATGAGGTTTATGATTACCTTTAATTGAAAGTTCTTTGTATCGAAGTTGGTCTTCTTTACTTCCTGTAGGTTACTCAGATGAGTCGTCCGGACCTGATTCTCTTTCTGATGAAATACCTGATGGCTCTGATCGTTGGCATCCCCTCTATTTTTTGGGTTGGAAGCAAAAAGACTTGCTTTGAATGGGCAAGTTTTTTTCATGGCCGTAGGAAAAAAGAGTAAGTTAATAACTTCTCACAATTTTCATAAACCTCACATTGGTGCAAGGCTTTTGTGAAGTACTAAGATTGAAACTTAGAAGCTGGGTGGTGTAGTCATGTGTGTAAAGTTAGCACTCAAGAGGTAAGAGAAAGAGGCTTGCAAATTTGAGGCCAGTCTGGGCTATATAGCAAAATCTTGTTTCAAAAAGCCTAAGGATTGTGGGTTTGATCCTCAACACATACATTAAAAAATTCTGTCAACTGCCCATGACAAATGTACAATTGCATGTCTTAGTGTTAAACACTGCAAAACTAGTCACTCATAGTGGTACAAACCCATAACTCCAGATAACTTGGGAGGCTGAGGCAGGAAGATCATGATTGCATGCCAGCCTGGGCTATACAGAAAGATATTGTCTCCAAAAAAAGGGATGAAATTGTATAATTTCATTTTAAAGATGAAGAAAATGATGGGAAAAAGGGATAATGATTGGCCTCAATATATATTGGTAAAGTTGGAAGCACAATCCTGATTTCCTGATAACAGAGGCTTCTGTTAGGGGACAGAGTGTTTTTGTTATATTCTTTCCTGTGTCCTTAAATTAGTCCTAATGACCTAGAGAACATTAGACTTCAAGAACAGCAATGGTGTTATATAGGCACTATTGACTATGTAATCAGAATGTTAATGTATATCTTGAACTTGCATTGCATTGTGTAGGATGGTCAATGAGAGCCGACAGGTGCTACAGGAACCTGACTTTGCCCAGTCACTCCTGAGGGACCCAAACACACCTATTATAAGAAAATCAAGGGGAACTTCAACTCAAGGAACTTCCACACATGCTTCCTCAACTCAGCTGGCTATGGTGGACGATCAAAGAAGTAAAGCAGGGAGTGTCCATAGCAAAGTGAGCAGCTACCATGGAAGCCTACACAGGTCACGTGATGGCAGGTAAGTTCTGTTCCTAGCTTAGTTTATTTCATATGTCACATTATTACACAGCTTAAGAGAGAAAAAGAGCCAATTCTGAAATATAAATTGAATATTATTAAGCCTTTCAAACTTTGCTAGATAGTTGTTCCACATAATGAAACTTAAAATCACTTTTAGGGGCTAAACACACTCTACAATTCTAGTTACTAGGGAGGCAGAATCAGGAGGACTGCAGTTCAAGGCCAGCCCAGGCAAAAAGTTAGCAAGACCTCATCTCAACCAACAAAGACACATGGTCCAAGCTATGTGAGAGGTAGAGATTTTTGTTTAAAATACTTCATTGTAAAATAAAACAAAGTTTTAAAAAGCAATAGTCATTGTAGATACTGAGTGGGGGGACAGGATGAAAAGAGTTGGCCTCGTAAGATTAAGATGGCATTGAACTGGGTTTTAGGAATCCAAGCTTTGCTTACAAAATCCAGAGGCCACAGATCTGTCCATCAGGCCATTGTTGGCCATTAGGCCATTGTTTGCCAGCCCTGTTCTCTAGGTATAGTAGAAGCACAGAGGAGGGAGTGATAGATTCTGGTGGTAGGTGGAACATTTAATAAAATGTTTCTTCCTGTATGTAGTACACACTTCTATAATCCCAGATACTCAGGAAGATCAGAGTTCAAGGCCAGCCTGGGAAAAAGTTAGTGAGATGCTGTCTTGAAAACAAGATGGGTGCATACATGTAATTATAGCTACTTCAGAGCCAGAGGTGGGAGGATTGAGGGCTGATGTGGTCTAGTAAAGTTAGTACTATACCCTATCTGAAAATCAAACTAAAGCAAAAGGATTAGGAGTGTGACTCAAGTGGTAGAACACTGGCCTAGTGAGCACAAGACCCTGATTCAATCCCCAGTACTAGAAAAAAAGAGGGGAGGAAGAATGGGAGGGAAAGAAAGAAAAGGAAGGAAGGGTCGGCCACAAGTGGCTGATGTCTGCAATCCTAGCTACTCAAGAGGCTGAGACCTGAGGGTCATGGTTCCAAGCAAGCCCAGGCAGGAAAGTGCATGAGACTCTTATCTCCAGTACACTACTCAGAAAAAGCCAGAACTGTTGCTGCAGCTCAAGTGGTAGAGCGCTAGCTTTGAGCAAAAGAAGCTTAGGGACAGTGCCCAGACCCCAGAGTTCAATCCCTAGGACAGGCCAAAAAAAGGGGGGGTTGGGGGTAGAGAAAAGGAAGGGAGGGAGGAAAAAAGAGAGGGAGAAAATGTTTCACAGAGAGACTAAGTCTGGCTGTGTGTTGTTCTGGTTAAATTTGAGGTCTGCCACACTAAAAATAGAAACTTCCTAGGAGCTTTGGAGACCTTCCCTGCAGAGCTTATTGGAGAGTTTGGCAGTGAAAAGAGAAGAAAGAGCAAACAGAAAGATATGCAGAAAGAAATAATAGGAGTTGGTGATAGATTATTATTAGTAACTATGGAAAAGGATGTCCCAGAGATGTTCTTTTCTAAGATTTCTAGTTTGGAAAACTAAAAGAAGGAAAATTGGGAGCATTCTGCCCACATGAGACCATCTGCTTCTGAAGCAGTTTTGTATCCTGATGGTCTCAGTCTAGCCTTCTCTCTTTCTTCCCTATATCCTAGTGTAGAATGCCATTCCTATCAATTTTTGATTTGGCTTTCTCCCTTGTTTTGCTTTCCTTTTTTAAAAAAAAACTTATTATTATAAAGGTGATATACAGAGAGGTTATAGTTACATAAGTCAGATAAAGAATGCATGTCTTTTTGGACAATATCACCCCTTCCCTCACTCTTCTTTTTGCTTTCTAACTTGATCTGCTACCCTGTATTTTAAAAAGCACCAATCTTTCTTTGACTTTAATATATCTTCCTCTTCTTCCTTTTCCTCCTCTTCTTCTTCCTCCCCCTCCTCCTTTTTCTTCCTTCTTCCTTCTTTCTTCTTCCTTCCATGAGACTTGAACTCTGGGCCTGGGTGCTGTCCTTGAGCTCTTCAGCTCAAGGCCAGGGCTCTACCATTTAAGCCACAGTACCACTTCTGGTTTTCTAGTGGTTAAATGGAGATAAGAGTCTCATAGACTGTTGTTTTTTTTTTCTTTTTTTGCCAGTTGTGGGGCCTGAACTCTGGGCCTGGGCACTGTCCCTCAGCTCTTCAACTCAAGGCTAGCGCTCTCCCATTTGAGACACAGTACCACTTCCGGCTTTTTCTGTTTATGTGGTGCCGAAGAATCAAACCCAGGGTCTCATGCATGCAAGGCAAGCGCTCTACCACTGAGCCACCTTCCCATCCCCTCTCCCATCCCATGCCTAGGCTGGCTTTGAACCGTGATCCTCAAATCTCAGCCTCCTGAGTAGTTAGGATTACAGGTGTGAGCCACCAACACCCAGCTAATATATCTTCTTTTATCCATCTCCTTTTCTTTGCCTTACCATACCTTTGAAGTGAAATGGCCATTTTTAATATTTCCTTTTTAGTCTGTCCTTCATCCTTTTAAATCTAGTCTTTGTCTCTTCCTTATTTGAGCTGTGTACTCTAACATCTTTTTAACCACATCCAAAGATCTTTTCTCTTTCCTGGCTTCTTTCCTTCCCCTCAGCAGTTCTGTAGGAGAAGTATTCTTAGCGCGAAGGATGCAGAAATTAAAAGCTCACTGAACAGTATCTCTCAGTATTCTTTAAAATGTTTAATAGAAATAGGTGCCAGCTGCTTTGGGATCCCAGCAAAGAAAACCAGCTACCTATCGTGGAAAGTCAGAGACAGCTTCCCAAGTGATGGCACTTCAACTTTAAATAGAATTCAAGGAAGACATGAGAGAATTAAAGAAAGGCCAGGGAACCATAAACACAGAAACAAGGAATGCAAAACATGCAGGCAGTTAGGTGCTGAGGTTTTACTAGATCATAGTTGGTGTGTTTAGACAATTTTAGGAGATGAAGCCATGCTGAAAAGTTTGAATTTTTCCCTAAGAGAGTGGGAAACTGTTACAGACTTTGAGCACTGGAGTGATACAATCAAATTTGAATTTTAAGAGAATTACTTGACAACTAGCATATGCAAGAAGGAAAGAAAAGTAAGACCATGAATTTAGGGGTATTAACTTAAGATGCTGATAAGGAGGGAGGGAATCAGAGACTTATCTCTCACCACCCTCCATAAACACTCAGCATTGACATTATTACTGACCTCACCTTTTGCAGTAATGAATGGATGACTGTTAGAGTACAACTCTTATGCCTGTGGAATTCTGTGTGAAAAGGTAACTAATTTCTATGTTCTAGGTACATACAACCTTGTGGAAAAGATGTGTTTATGAACCAGTTGCATAAAAGCTCAAGCCAGGATGTAATTTAAACAGTGAGGTTAGGGATAATAGATTAAAGGCCTTAGGAAAGGTTAGATTAGACTGATACATGAATGTGTATATAAGAGGAGATAAATAGGGTGATTTGATGGCCTGGGATAAGTTCATATTGAGAAGAAAATTTCCAAGGGCAGCTAAAGATAGATTTCATTCATTGTAGTTCTAGTGGATTGGAGTTTATAATCTTTTGTTGGTAGTTAAAATGGTGAGATCACTTAAATTGCATTAAGATCTTAATGCATGTCATGACAGCCAGAGGGTATCATGATTTCCAGGAATGGCCTCTCCTACTGTTCTGCTCAGTCAGAATCAGACCTATCCTTTCAGGACTGCATAATTCTAATTTTCTCAGTGGTCACAACGCTACCCTTTATTTTTCCTGTTCTTTTTGTTATTATCTCAGTTTGTCGCTTCTGGTGAGTGAGAGGAGATGACACTCGTGTGTGTATTCCTCCTTGGTTTATACAGCACCCAACACTAGTAGCTAGGCATCACTAACTTTTGGCCTAGGGCCTAGGTTTATCTCAAATGGAGATTCTGTCCTAGCCTCCTAAATAGATGGGATTATAAGCATAAACCATCATGGGGGCCTTGTTTATTTTTTGAGAAGTCCTTTGAAAATATTCCTAATGCATAAGTTTCCAGTTTGCATAAAGGGGAAAAAACAAAATATTTAATTTTAATTAAAACAAAAAGTGCTTAATTTTAATTAAGCCAAACAAAGCAGTTTTTTAAGCCTGCTATATTCTGGGTTCCTCCTCCCCTTCTTTCCTTTTGCTGTACCCAGGATCAAACCCAGGGCCTTGCACATGCTAGGCAAGGGAAATTCCAATAAGCTACAATTCTTAGCCACCCCACCATTTTTTCCCCAAGTGGTCACTCATCTGCCACTTAGCTGCATACAGCCTAGCGCTTAGTTTTTTGAGACAAGTTCTTGCTGTGCGGCTTAGGCTAGCCTTGAACTCAGCTTTTAGAAGGCTGGGATTCTAAAGTCACACTAGATCTGTTTGTTTTTAGAAACATAACGTGAAACATTATATTTGGGCAAGGATTATAGCTTAGGGTCTCATTACCCCAGTATTGCAAAAAACAAAAAATCTATATATTCATTAATACATTATAACAGTTTTTGTCCTAAATTAAATATATTTTACCAAAAAGTGTATTGTTGCGTGTATGAACAAAAGATACTTTAGACATTTCTTGAGGCACTAGGAATCAAGAGATAAAATATGGTCCTTTCCCTGAAAGAGCTCACTGTTAAGTCAGAAAGATTGATCAATAGCATACTAGCTCTATAAGCAAAGAACTAATTTTTAAAAATGTAATTGGTTTTCATGACCTTGACTGGCCTAGAGCTAAGTTTCTCATTACTTATGACAGGAATTTTTAATATTCTTGCCTGTGTTGGAGCTCAGTGAGTCAGGATTGCAACAAAAGAAATTGAACAGCCCCACTGCTGCCTTTCACGCTAAGCTGTGTAGCCCAGCTAATGTGCAGGAAGCTGGTCTTGGGCTAAGAGTAGAGAGAATTTGCTGCTATAGGATTAGCTTCTGAGTAGATGTTATGTCTGTGAATTAGCGTCTTCACAACTTGAAGCCCTAAGGAAAGTAATTAAAGTCATTTATGGATGGTCAATTCAGCTGCTAACGAGGCTATTGGAAAAGAAGCTATGGACACAGAGGTCATCTCATAGCAATTCATTCCTTTACTATTTCTTTTTCTTTTAATTTTTTTTGGGTTAGGCTGCACTAACATCTCCATTGATTTTTACCTTCTCCTCTTCCAATATTGGTTTCTTAGTAAAATTTGAGTTTGCCATGCTAGTGAGTAAAACCAGACTTCTTGCCTCTCTGAGGCCATATCTCATGTCTCCATTTTTTTTCTATTACTCCTCCTCTTCTTAAACCACTTTATTTCCCAGAAATTATTTCAGTGAGAAAAGTATCTCTCCAAATCAGTCGGCCCAATGGATCTTAGTTTTTAACATTTTGCAGTGAATGGGATCTTTATTCTGAGCCTGAGTGGGTTAGCCAGGTCAGATAATTCTACATCTTGAATGAAAGTACTATAAACAATCAGAAGGTGGGTTACTGCTCTCTGATGAGTGGTTTCCTCAGCGTTTTATTTGCTGAGATACTTTCATCAGCATCAGTAGTGATAGACTTCTGTGTGTTTGGTTACCCCCTTCAAAATTCACTCTCCTATACCAGGTACACGCCCTGCAGTTACCGAGGAATGGAAGAGAGACTACCTCATGGCAGCATGTCACGACTGACCGACCACTCCAGGCACAGCAGCTCCCACCGGCTCAACGAGCAGTCACGACATGGCAGCACCAGAGATCTCAGTAACAATCCCATGACCCACATCACCCACGGCACCAGCATGAATCGTGTCATCGAGGAGGATGGAACTAGCGCTTAATTTGTCTCGTCCAAGATGAAACGTGTGCTGTTAAAAGCAGGTTTATTCTTTGCCTTCGCATGACTGATTGCTGTAACTCACCCTGCTTTCAGTTGAGTGCAGGGAGTCCATTGAGAAGGTAGATTATTGCTTTTTGTATTGTGTCCAACTTGGAACACCCACAAAGGCATCTAAAACACTAAGAGTTATAGCATTTCAAAAATAATTCTTTCTAGGTTGTGAAGAGATAATTATTTGTCTGGTGAGCATTTTTATAAGTCCACTTATTTTCTATTTAGAAAAATCCTATATGTGTGGTGACTGCTTTGTAGTGACTTTGATATAATAATATGAACTAGTTGTGAGATAGCATTCTGGTAGCTCTGTTACTAAAACAAAGTTTCAGAATTAAAGAAATTTTCTATGCAAGGCTTATTTCTCAGATGAATAGTAAGACTTTGTAGTTTTATTTCCACTACATGAGAAAAAGAACTGTTTTTTCAACTGTAGGAGACTTTGATAAATCAGCAAGGGTATTTTAGCTAATAAGATACAAATGCAACTGAAGAGCCTGATGAGTCTGTGGGAGGATCTCTCAAAATTCTATCCACATAGTCCTCAGCCAGAGATATTCAGGATTTTGATTAAGCAATGGAAGAAAAGCAGAGATGGCCATTTTCCCCCTGTAGTTGGTATTGTTTTTAGTACTTTTGTAAATATTACTTTTACTGGCTGTGTTTTTATACTATCCATATGCATGATGGAAAAATCTTAATTGGTAGCCATCTTTTCCCAAGTAACAGTATTGATTCATAGAGAATTTCTTCTTCAGATCTGCTCCATGGAGGCATGTATTAAGATAAGCATCACACATTGTAAGGTCTTTTGTGGTAACCACAGTTACAAAATGGTGAACTATTTTCTCCGTATTCATGTTGTGAGATGTGGCATTGCCAAACCCACCAGACCTTGGTATGCAGGTGAGCTGACTGTGTGTACGCCCATTGCCCAGGAGCCATGTAGCTACAGCTAGCTGCAGTTAGATACAGCTTTCACCCCATACTGAACATAGTTTCTGGATCATTGTGGTTGACAGCTGACTATATATACTTTTAAGTCCAAAGTGGTGATTAAATTGGGTATTTGAGATCATTGTAGCTAAATGGAGCATGATTAGTCTTGCTAAGAATATGTTTTAATCTTAAAAATATCAAAAAGTCAAAAATATTTAACATTTTATCTTTACATTTAAGTAATTTACAGTATGAACTGTGAATTTTATTAGGCATGAAATTGATCAGGAGAGAAAGAAATTTTCTGGAAAATGCTGATGTGTCACATAGCAAACACAAGTGATCCTCACCGTGAGTGCAGATAAGAATCACTTGGGGAAGTTGTGATACCCAGCATCCTCCTTCCTATCAGATGAGAAATGCTATTTAACAAAAGAAAAATAAGGGAAAAGAAAAGCTTTCCAAGTGATTCTAATTTGCAGTCATGCCTGCATCCTATTGTTTTTAAACTCACTTATCCCTAATACCATCTGATGGCATCACATGATATCATGTGAAGCTCTGTTGCATCAGTGATATGCTTTTACATCTTTACCTAATATCCAATTGTTTTCTACGTTATTGTCTGTTAGAAAATGCAGGAATTTTGGCTCCATTCCTAGAGAGTTTTATTCAATAAATCCAAGGTGGTAGGATTCTAAAATCTGTATTTATGAAAATAGTACAGGTTATTCTTATGCAGATAATCCAAAAACCACACTTAGAAGAACATACTAGATTCTAGAGATGCCTGGCTCTGCCATATGATAGTTTTTAACCTTTAATAAGTAAGTCAGCATCTCGGAGTCTAGGTTCCCTTGTTTGAAAGTGAAGATTCATACCTACTCTACCTACCTCACAAAGTTGTCAGTTAAGATCAAATGGAAACAACCATATGAAAACCATATAGCATCATGAAATATAAGGGATTAAGTTTATTGAGAATTTAAGAGATTCATTTTAGGACTACTGTAGTATACTTCTTGACAATGTTGAATTCATGTGTACATTCCTTGTTCAGCCTTTAAAACTAAAGATATGAAGAAACGAGATGTTGGAAAAGAAGCTTTTATCCAACTTTTGTCAAAGTCCTAACTTATTTGAGTATCATGTTTCTTTCAAAGTGAATTATTCCTTGTCAGATATATCTGAATATTTGGCCCAGTGTTATTTTTTTCTTTTTTCTACTATCCTCAGTCTTGGAACTGGAGTTACCACTGAAACAGGAGAAGTATAAATTCTTCATAGCTTATTAGTAACCCTTCCTCTATTCACTTATCTACAAAAAACAAACAAACAGAATTTATGAGGCCTTCGTCAGAGAATCTCTCCTGAGAACAGCATGAGTGAACCAAAACAAACATCCACAAACAAAAATAAGAAATTAAAATAAAAGGTGCCAGTTTGAGCTAAAAGATGTTGTCATCTAACACCATCTGCATTACATTATCAACTGCCAAAATGTTCCGTAGTTTCTCGTACAAGCAGGCCAAGTATTGACAGCTAAGTGAACGTTGCTATGAAAATCTTAATTTTGTGCTTCCAGATTTTTATATATTTATTGGTATCTGTTGTGTTAAACTAATTGTTGCCGCATACATAGGATGTTATGTTCCAGTTAGTTTCAGTGTCTTAATTTTGCCCCACAAAATTTACATAATATCATTAGTCCATTGCTCTAACAGTATTTAGTTTGGCCTAGTCCATTAGACTAGTGCTCCAAGTTAATTTGTTTTTCTTTTTGAAGAAAATATTGCAAAGCATAGCAGAACAGCAGTTTTAAGTTTCAGCTCACTTAAATGAATTTGAACAAGTTTGGACAGTTTCATAACCATATGTTTAATTTGTGTCATGATTGGCATATGCTAACATTTAGTGTTCTATTTGCTCAATTGACAATTGAGAAAATAATAGTTCTATCTAATAAATTACCAAAAGAGTTTTGTAAAGTCCTTTGATTTCAGCAATATTGTTTTATTTAGTAATTAGGCAAAAAGATCCAAAACAATGTTAAGCTCAAAACAATTTGTTAGAAATAACAAAACAACTAATGCAAGGTTTAGCACATAGTAAGTTTTTCAATAAATATTTAAGTTAATGAACAATTCATGCCACTCAGTTTGCTTTTGTCCTAGTAATGAATTTCATGTTAAGGAAATTTGAAAGATTTAAACTAAGTGAAATGAATAGCATATACATAAGTTATACTTCATGATGCTTATTTCTCCTAGGTTAACAGTCCATGTTACTATTTTAATTAAAAAATTAAATATATGTGCAAGCATGTGCTAACTCTAAAGCCAGGTGTGGTGGTATGCATCTGTAATTCAAGCTACTCCAAGCTAAAAGCAATAGGACAATTAGTTCAAGGTCAGTCTGGGCTAGAACATAGCTGAAGTGATAGAGTGCTTACCTGGCATACGAGAGGCCCTCAGTGCTATCCTTAGCACCACAGAAAGAGATGTAATTAAAGTTCCTCTTACACTAAATACATTTCTGTGCACCAGTTGAACAAGTAAATATTTAACAATTCTTTTTACTTTTCTCTGCTGCTTTTTGGAGTAACTTTATAAAGCTCTTGAAACTCTCTTTAAATTAGAAAAATTTGCTGCATTTCAGCCTACTTCATTAGTTTCTTTGTGTTCATAGCTGAAAATAAATACGTGCCCATTTTAGTTTAACCTGTGTCTCGTGAAACAGAAATACTTACATTGTTTTGAAAATAATAGATCATTCTTTGAGATGATAAAACTGGAGCTTAGAAGATACTGATATACCAAAATTTCAGTGTACTTTTCATATTGCTTTTTATTTACGTGCTATCATATTTGGATGGCTTAGGAGGATTCCACTGGGCTTAGAATCCAATTATAATGTGGACGGACTCTGCTTCTTCAGCATACAATGTGGATGAGGTCATTTTTGGTCTCTCGGGACTGTGAGGGTCAAATTGAGAGAACATGTATCCGTGCTCTCTAAAACATGGGCTGCTATACAGATACAATTTGGATTAGCAGTATCTTGCAGAAAACAAGATGATGGTCTCTGGTAGTATCTATTTTTGTTTTTGTTTTTGTTTTTTGCCAGTCCTGGGGCTTGAACTCAGGGTCTGGACACTGTCCCTGAGGGTTCTTTTGCTCAAGGCTAGCACTCTTCCACTTGAGCCACAGCGCCACTTCTGGCTAAGGAATCAAACCCAGGGCTTCGTGCATGCTAGCCAGGCACTCTACCTAAGCCACATTCCCAGCCCAGTACTATCTATTTTTAACATCAACAACCATTAAACCATTAGACCAGTATTCATTGGTATAATCTTAAATTTGAAAAAAGTTTTTAAAAAGATTTTCAAGAGTAGAGATTCTATTCTATTGTTCTGCCTCTTAGTTACGGAACACCACAATATATACTCTGATTTTACATGGTAGAATCTGTAGGTCAGTTCCACCAGATGCATGAGACTCTCCTCTGTGTTCCTTTTATATATAAGGGATTATATGAGCACATTTGCTTGGCTTGACTGGAATTTATTAAAAACAAAGAGGAATATAGGCCCTCTACCTTTTTCTTTTTCTTTTTTTTTTTTTGGGGGGGGTCTGGTCGTGGGGCCTGAACTCTGGGCCTGGGCTCTGTCCCTCAGCTCTTCAGCTCAAGGCTAGTGCTCTACCACTTGAGCCACAGTGCCACTTCCGGCTTTTTTTCTTTTTG